GGGTAAGGGCAAACCCGTTGTATATAATTAACATCTCCCCAACGCAAAAATACATCTTGATAATAGTTCGCGGTACCCGCTGCTTCATTTAACTCGGACCGGCCAGCCGACCCCGACAAACTCGGTGGTCGAGTGGTTAAGACATCTGCACTAGTAAGCAGGAGGTCGTGGGTTCGAGTCTCACTCGAGTAAGCTTGTGAGGTTTTTTCGCAAGCTCTCGGACAAGCACTGAGCATACAGTGCTTATAAATATACGTTGGGTAAGGGCAAACCTGTTATATATAATTAACATCTCCCCAACGCAAAAAAAATACATCTTGATAATTATTAAAAGTTGTTGAATGAGGTGTGTGTCTCTTCAGGTTATAAGTTACATGTAAGTTTCATTTCTCTTTTGAAACAGTGACAAGGGCATAAATCAGGCATCACCCAAACCTACATTGTACTTATGTACATGTGCATGTACATGTACATGTACAAGCAGATGGAAGCTGGTTTGCGAATCGTACCATCATCACAATGTCTTACATCAGCCTGAAGAAAAAGGCGACTGTTGCTCTCTTGTGCCTCGTGTCCTTCACTGTGGGTTGTATCCTGACGACCAAACTCCACTCGCCACAGTCTTTCCAAATGCCATCAGGCCTCGCCTCGTTGCAGGCAAGCCGACTGGATTTGGGCAAAAGGATAAGAGGACAGCGACTGAAGGACAACAGCAAGAATGTCACCGAATCCAATGCAGACATGTATGCTGACCACCGTGAAGCTTCTGTTGATGACGAGAGAGCACTTACCGACCAAAACGAAACTGACATTTTCACAGATTACACTTACGATACAGATAAAGAAGCTGTGTCAGCCAACTCACATGCAGTAGCCCAGCCTGTGTCCAAGCATCACTATTTTGTTGAGGTGTCGGACCCAAGGGCAGGACTCATCCTGAAGAAGGTGATCAGCAAACTGCCTCGTAACCTCCTGAGATCAGTCGTGTTTGGCAAGAAGATTTTTGATGAGCGGGAACTGTCCTTGTTGGGCAGCAAGAAGGCACCCACTGTGAGCCTTCAGAAGAAATGGGCAGCACTCACTGAGGGAATGAGGGAAGTGGGCTACGAACAGCGACTTCCAGTTGTCATCAACATTGGTGTCAAAAAGAGTGGGACCAACGCCTTCGGATTTTTCATTTCACAGCATCCGCAGATTGTTCATTCCATCGGCAATGAGGTCCACTACTTTGACTGGAACTATGGCAAGGGGATTGAGTATTACCGCTCTCGGATGGGTTTCTCCAAGGCCAACCAATTCACCTTTGAAAAGACGCCGCGGTATTTCATCACTCCTGACGCACCAAAGAACATCCTGAAGGATCTCCCGAGCAATGTGAAGTTTGTGATCTGTGTGCGGGACCCCGTGGAACGGGCGAAGTCGGACTTTAGGCATGAAGCCGAGTTGGCGATGCGGCGCGGCAAGAAAGACAGGGTTGCAGTTCGTACACTTGCAAGGTCTGAGACACCGGCCTCACAAGGCGAGAAATTTGAACAAACAGTACTTGACAAGAATGGCAATATCAATTTGTCCAGTGATATAATCAGTGCAAGCGTCTTCTCCAAACACTTCAAAAACTGGTTGGAGCACTTCCCTCGAGATCGATTCTACATTTTGAGTGACGAAAAAGTGAACAAAGATATCTACACAGAGATGAAAAACATTGAGAATTTCCTTGGCTTAGAGCCGTTCTTTGAGAGGAACATGTTTTTCTACAACAGGGAGATCCACGCACCTTGCATGAAGGTTGAGCCAAGACCTTGCCCGGCCAAGAGCACTCCAGGCTTTCTGCCCAAGGCAGAGCCTAGCCCGGAGGTCATCCAAAAACTGAGAAATTTCTTTCGGCCATATAATCAGGAATTTGAAAAGCTTACCCAAATGGAATTTTCATGGACAAATCTATAAACTAAAGTTGGATAAGTTTAGAATGGTACTTAAAACGAGTATGTCATTCCTTTGCCTTCAGTGTACTAAATTGTGTTTCTCACAAAATGTCATACATTACAAGGACAGTTTGATTATTGATCAGTAATCAAACAAAACTCAACTTTTTGATTCAAAATGTTGGTTAGAATCTTCGTGAATCTTTCTGAATTCCAGGAACTGCAACTACTGTTTTATGGCACATACATGTACCTTGTGTTTCAAACAAAACAGGAACGTCAAGTTTGGCTTTGAAGTCCCGAATCTCTGAAGGTTTTCATGGAGAGGAATCATTATTTCATACATAAACATGTACATGTAGCTACTGGCTCATGTAACAATTGTTGACTGCTGTGATGTGGGATATGATGTTTTGAAAACCCGAGGAATCATAACACCCTCAGCTTTGTCTTGGGTACTATGCATCCTTCAGGTTTTCAACAATTGTGTCATATCTCTGTCTTGGCGATGCTTTTCAATTGCTTTACCGATTTGAAGGGAAACTAAAGGCAATAGGGAAATCTGTGCACACTGGCAGTCAGCGATCCCTGCATTAACCTGTACACTGGAGGGAATGCTTTCATGCATCACAGTGTGTGTGCGATATGTGATATCTAATTGTGAATGTGACATGTGGTTATGTTGCCCTACCATGTGATTGCTCTGAGCCAATAAAAAACAAACTAAAAAACAAACAAACAGTATTCAAGACAGAGGTACAGCAATGGCAAATTCATGGTAGTGAATCCATACCAGTTTTGCTTTTTCCATGCATGTGAACAACCAGCCTTGTATGTAATAGTGGCAACCAAAGTTTGTAAATGGAAAAGCATTGCTTGTTTGTCTTGGTTGGCCAGATGCCTGAACCTTACACTGTACATGTACTCCTACAATACACCACATGTACAGCACATGTAGTTAGAAGCAAACTGTACTTGGATAGGAAATGTAAAACAATATGCTAATTCTTTACAAGTACAAGTACATGTACTGTAGTATGTAACATGTACAATGTATCTCGTAACCTGTACACTGTATGTGTGATAGTGGGATATTTACATGTATGTAGTGATATTAATGCATAGCCATAACCTTGAGGTTTAGTGTAAATCATGGACAATCTTATTGGATGTGGCATGGTTAGGGATGGTTGAGGTCAATTCCATTTCAAAGCAAATGTGGAAATCAGCCAGGCTATTGCAGATTTGCTGTTGCAAACTTCATAAACAAGAAACATGTTCGGAAACTGAAAATGGGAAAAAAGGAATGATACTGTTACTTTTACTTGCATTAAAAAAAAAGACTTTAGTTTGTGAATCACAAATGATGAGGTTGGCAAAAACAGTTTTGCCTGTTTCCATACTGTGGAATTACCCATGAGCATGTACATGTACTTGCCGGAAGTAAATGGTTTTCTAGATATTTACATGTACGCGTCCACAAAACAAGATCTTTTTTTGACAATAACCGTAAGCTGTTCCAAACAGCTTGTCAATGTGAAATTCAAAATGTTATGACTCTGCACACTCATTAATCCCTTTTCTCAACTGTTTTGTGCGTTCTAAAGTACTTAATTAAATCAGTGTGTAACTCTAAAGATTGTTGAGAACTGATAAATATTAATCTTGAAATTATTTTGGTATAGTCCTTGCGCAAAGCTTTGCAGTACCGTGCATTGTCAGGGAGTTACCCTCCTCCCAAAATCAAGATGACATACATGGAAGAATGGCATGATTACACGTACATGTATCTGATCTGCATTGTTTGTATAGGATAATTCACTTTCTTTTCTTAGCCAATAAACTGCTGTTTTTATAAGCAAGTTGTCTTTTCTCAGCCACCATAACATTATCCAGTACACCAAAACTTTATGTACGGGTAAAATCTTGAGATTACCATTATGAGATATCAGTATACACCATGCCTTGTTGGGAAAGCATGTAGAAATAATGCTTATTTGGCATGACGTGCACTGGACACACCTGACCAATTTCTGTTGGCATGTACATGTATGGTGTCTGTGTGAGGTGGCCAGGTGATATGACGCCATCTGATCTGTGTCTTCTTTGACGGTGATGGGGTGCTTCAAGTTGGGGGAGGAATAGCTTTTCTGCTTCATGTTTGCTTTTGTGGTGCTTGTTATGTTGAAATTGAATTTTTAAGTAGATCTATGATATGCAGTACATTTTGAGGGAAGTTTGGTTCCCTTTGTCTGGTGTGCAAAGGTATTAAATTAAAACAAATTATAAGGTTTTTACAAAATTTAATTTTACATTCATACAGTGTACCTGTATGAGTGTGGAGAATTTATTTTGGTTTTTATTAATGTAAACATTTTTTATTTGTTTCAATAAATTTAAAGAATTCTTCAAGAACTTTGTTTTGTTTAAAGCTGAAGGAAAGATATACCTGATTGGAGGAGATCATGTTTAGTACCAAAAGGTACAGTTTGTTTGTACAGTTTGGGCCTGTTTGTTTCAAGTGGATCCGGATCGTGATCAGTGATCTGTTGTTGGTTCACTGACACCAAAACCCGCCTAGTGGATTGAATGAACCAGTGATGGGATCACTGATCGCGATCCAGATCGGTCGGTGTGAAACAAACTGATCCCTGAACTTCCCGCGAATCTACACGTACATGTTCATGCATCTTTGTAGATGAACATGCATGTACCAGTACATTAGCTGGAGGACGAGGTGCCAAAGTAAAATAACCATTTATCCATATACATGTACATGTAATATGTACAGTAGATGTATATAAGTCGATAATAATTCCCTTTGTTTTGGGATCGAAATATTCTCTTAATGATGTGATTTTCAACAGATATTTTACATGTAAGTTGATTGATGTATGTAAGTCATCCTAGTCTCCAGGCACATGCATACATGTACTACCTGTACTGATTCATGTTTGTCTTCATGTCCTGTCTCTTATCTCTTTCACTTGCCCAGAGCTTTATATAGAGAGAGAAGCGCCAGCTTCAGCTTTTGGAGACAAAATGGCTGTTTATTAGGTGCACAGGAGAGCGTGCAGCTGTTGTACATGTACATGTATGCCAACTGTCCAAGTGCACTGGCACATGTGCCAGTTTGTTCCCATCAATGGTGACTCTCATGTCACAACTCTCTCTATACACGGCTGTGTGGCAGAGCCAAGACATACCTTCTTGAACCACTGTATAAACATTCAAATGAAAACAACAGATGAAAATTGAATGACTTTGTTGGGTCTCATATAACATATCTTGTAGTAAAATAATCCTCTTCTCAGATACAGGGTCTGTTGATCGAGGTTAGTGATGATGGGAGTTTCTGCTTATCCAAATTCATTTCTGCATATCTGGGTATGTAGATTGTAGGACTTCAAGTTTGAGGCTGTGTTTCTACTGGTATCTTCATACTTCCTAATTAATTAAGAACTGACACTGGGTCCACTTGTGCTTGTAAATGTTCACTTGCACTATGGAGATAAACAACACTGCATTTGGACTCATTTCCACCGCAGTAGATTTGGTTCAGTGGTCCCTATGATAATTGGAGTCGCAATCCCTTTTGTTGGAAAATTTGTGCACATTGGCTGTGAAAAAATATCAACCAAATGCCTCAACTTTCTTTTGAAATTCAGAGGAATTTTCCAAGCATTTATCATTGCATTTGGTTTTGTACATGTAGTTTTTGGGTGTTTAACATTGTAATTTTTGTAATTCCTACTGCTCAGGACTATATTATGTTTTATACAATACCTGCATAAATCCCTGTCATCTGATTGGTGGATCACTGATCACGTATCATTTAATTATTTGTTCTATTAAACAGTACCCATTGAATAGAACTTCATTTGACTTGACTGGTTCCCGGCCGCGCTTCATACGTGGCCAAGTAAGAAAGGAAAATAATGTAGTGATTGGAACCAGTCGAACTAGCGCAGTACTACCTGTTGCGTTGGTAGTGCTTTGGACACGAATCTGTTTCACAAAATGGCACAAGTGGGAGCTTTTGTTCCAGTAGAAAAGGAAGTTTTGCAAGTATCGTATAAAACAAATAAATGAATGCTTCACATTTGTGCAACGGTCAGAATCATTTCATCTGTGATTTTTCTTACCATTGCACTCATAAACATTCTTTATTTGTATACTATCCCAACAACCTTCCATTCATAGTGTATAGAATGTTATTGTTTTAAAGTTTGCAGTAATTAGTGGTTGGCTTTTATGTCTGCTGTATTCAATAGTGTATTTATGGAGAGAGATTCACTGATTAAGTTCTGTTGAGTCATAGTCACACATATGTACATGTAGGCTGTGTCCAAAATGGGATTCCAGATCTATGGCTATGTCTGTTGTCTGTGATCTCCACATATTTCCAATGTAGTGAAGACCCAGACCTAGCTCTAGACAACAGATTTGGATGCAGCCTCAGCCTTGTAAGAATATTACTTGAAGCATTCTTACACATTCTTTTTTAGGCCTGATTGGAGGACATTGTGACTTATTTATGGCCCCCGTTTCAGGGCTTCATCACATAGTGTGCTGTGTCCATTGGATGTTTTGCTCTGTTTCAGTTCAGAGAGAGGCTGAACTGGCCACATGATTGAAGCCTCGTTTTTGGTTCCAGTTTGGTAATTCCATTTAGAAAAGCAGTTACTGAAATTTGAGTTTCCATGGACAGTTTGTTTAGTACAATAAGTATCCTTGCTTGCTTGGATGGACTGCAAGAAATGGAACTCTGATAAGAGGGAAAAAAATTGCCAAGTGTAACAAATATACAAAATTGGTTTCTGTAAGAGATGCAGGTACATGTAATCAGACTTTAAGTTTATCATAATTGCATGTCATTCCTGTTCCAGATGATAGTCCTTTTCTGCAGGAATTTAATTACTGTAAAAACGGTGTTCCACCATCAGTGATGTATCAAGGCCTTTGACTGGGGGAGGGGGCAAAAATTGAATTTTTCTAAACGTGACCTTTTTTTTGTATCCGTAAAAGAATCCTTCATTCCTACCCGCCCCCTCCAAAAAAGGTATTATGGTTGCTAAAATTCTCTTGCTTTAAGTTCCGTCTCTAAGGGGGCAACTTTTCCCCCACCTTCATTGGATATGCCACTGTCCACAAGTAGATTATACTTGGAGAGTTTTCTCAAAATTGGTTTTGATTTTATGAAAGGCTGTACAGATATCTATTTTTGTGCATTTTTATTAAGTATTTTCTTATCCAAACCTACATGCACATTTGTCTCCTGTGAAGTTCAGCACATTCACCTGTCTTCAGTAAACACAAACAGTATTATCAGAACTTGAAAAACATATACATATTGTTTTTACAACATACCAAAATGTGTGCTTTATATACATGTATATGCAAACAGTGCAATTCCATTTTTCAGTCAGAGGTTCGTAATACCGAACACTCACTTTTACCAGCCCAAAGCTCATCCCTATTATCCCGTTTTTTCATTCTTATTATTACTTTGTGAAATACTGTCCCATATTGAATGTTTTGAAAAGACGAGCACAATCATAAATTGTAGGTATTTCTACTGTGATATGGGGTAG